GTCCACCTTCAGTACGTAGCTGACGAGAACGGATTCCAGCCACAGGGTGACCACCTGCCCGTGGCTCCCGAGTTCCCCCACCCGATCCCCTCAGTTCGTCCTCGACCAGATCGCCTTCGCCGCCGAGGAGGACGCCCGCCAGGCCCGCGGAGAGGTCTCCCGCTCCTATGGTGCTCCTCGTGATGACTGAACACATTAACCAAATGTCTCTTTCTTTCGCCGATTTTTCTGCTATTTATAATTACATTATAAACTGTCAGATAATACCATCTGCAATTGCAGAGAAAATCTTTTTATAGCTGTACAAATAAATATGTTATCATAAGCTCTCTTTTTATATTTCCAATCGACAAGACAACAAAAGGTAATTTCACACGTATAAATGAATATATGTATCTAATTATATATATATATATATATATATATATATATATATATATATATATAATATATATATATATATATATATATATAATATATATATATATAGATAGATAGATAGTATATATATATAATATATATATATATATATATATATATATATATATATATATATATATAGATAGATATATATATACACATATATGGGTGTACTTACATAGTCTCTATTTTATCTATTTATATATACATGTATCTATAAATGCATATATGTATAAATATATATGGATACATAAATGGCTTTATAACCTTATACATACATGTATATATAACTATACATATGTATATATGGATACATACATGAATACATATGCATATATATGTGTGTGTGTATGTCAGTATTTATACATATGGACTTATAAATTATAGCATATGTAAGTACATGTATGTATACATATGTCTTTGTATTCACACACACACATTCACAACGACACACACATACATATGTATATATATATATATGTGTATGTATATATATAGGTATATGCATAAGTATATACATACATACATACCAACAGACACACATACATGTACATGTATCCATGCACTTTGATCTAAACAAATCATGACTACTGTTACGTATTTCCTGAGAAAAAAATACGTTGAAATCATCCTGGTAGTATATGTGTATATAGTATGTTTAAACACAACACACACACATAACACATATATTGTGTATATATATATATTTTACATATACATATATGTATGTATATCCATATGAATAAGTGTGTATGTGTATATGTGTGTGTGTATGTTTGTATGCGTGTTCCTATAACTACACAGGAGCGTTTTTATGTGTCTTATACATTGATTAGATATATGAATGTTTTGTATTTATGATACACTTTAATCAGCACTATACTTACCTGCAAAGGGTGTAAATATTTCATCTACTTTATATAAATCGTATCAATAAAAATTGTTTGATAATAAGATAGACATCAATTGAATAACAATTATATTTCTGTATAGAAAAATCAGCCATTTTGATTATTTACATGGTATTAGAATGTCCACTGCTGAACCCTTTTCCTGAATTTAACTATAATGCTATTTTCATTACATAATAGGATAAATAACGTGATATGTACTTTTTTTTTACTGGCATATATCTCATAAAGGTGAAAGGTAAAGAAGTTCGTTTGTTGGAAATGCTGAAGACATATGTGGAGGAAATTATGATAACGATACACATAATGGATATGTGAATAATGACTTTCAGTAAGAAAAGCTTATCAATTTACCTCATTCAGCCCTCATAGAACTACCTGATATATGTACAGATAGATAGATATACAGATAGATTTATATACATATATCTAGATAGATAGATAGATACTATCTATGTGTGTGCATGTGGGCGTGTGTGTGTGTGATGTGTATGCGTGTATATATACATATGTATATGTATATATTTATGTATATGTGTGTGTGTGTGTGTGCGTGTGTGTGTGCGTATAGATTTGTAAATATTATATATACGAAGTGTGTGTGTGTGGGTAGGTGGGCGGGTGTCTGTATGGATGTACGTAAATATAATTATATATATATATATATATATATATATATATATATATATATATATATATATATATATATATATATCTATCTAACACGCACACACACTCACACACACACACACACATATATGTATGTATGCATATATATATCTCTCAAAATTCTCGAGTTAATGCATATCACACACAGCTTGATATGATTTAGAAAATGGAATTTAAACTTTAAGATTGAGCAGTCAATGACCTATGGGTTTAAGGTTGGACTCCAGTGTACACTTAGGTCGAAAATATATCTTGTTCTCGACCTTGAACTTATGATTCCAAGAAAATGTCAAATGACCGGCTACAACGAGAGCAAACCGGCAGCTTCATTTAAGGTACAAATTCCTGTAATATTTTCGTTAATATGTTTTTAATATTATTTCCTATCCACCCTGAGGATTTATATTGCACTGTCGTGTTTTTTTAAAACAAATAAAATGTTTGAAATTGCGTTTCAAATATCCGAATAAATGGGAAAAATGAAAAGGCAATCGGCAACT